ATAAAAAATTAAATTCTTACATTGGGTACACATGCACCATACTCTGCCGTAGATTGACCTTATTACCTGTCGAAACTCAGTGCAATCAGTGCACATATCGACTAGCATATCACGAACGACCAAAATGCAACTATTAACATAATCCAGATATTAGTGGATAATACTAAAAATATACTACAGTACCAAATTTAAAGAAAATGCAAAACGCTAAAAGCTATTATTATACAAAATAAACAGCCGACATTAAATAAATATCAGTCACTACAGGAGACTTTATCTTGAAGTATATATCATCTATTTAATCTGCATATATATATATATATATATATATATATATATATTTAAAATTCACATTCTTTTTGGTACGGCCTTGTTGCAGTAACTGTTACAAATTACGTCACCGCAGACAGACTATTTGAAACTTCCAGCTTTCCAATGAGTACCAGCATGTAGACAAAGGAATTCTGCCTGCACCACATACACCACATTGATTCTTCAAAATTATTGAGACTGTCGAAAGTACTTGAATAAAAAAATAACACAACATAACCTTCGGGTAGTTTATTCAAAATTTCGAGCACAATGCTGAACTAAAAAAAAAAATTTAAAAATAGAATAAAAAAAATTATTCAGTCAGACCTTGTCGGTTGTTTTTTAATCAAATTGTTTGAATATATATATATATATATATATATATATATATATATATATATATATATATATATATATATATGCAAAGTATAACCTTCGAAATTGACCAAAATATATCAATAGAATGTTTTACTCTTCGCACCGCTCTTAATAGCTCGACTGTCTCGACAAAATATATTGTTTTAGAAAGCCATGTTTAAAATTTTAATAACTGAAATGTTACACACTATTTAATTGTTAGATTATTTATTTACAATATTCTAAAAATATTTAAACCAACTACAATGCAATATTTATTATTTACCATTTTGTAAAGAAATATGAAGACAAATCTTTTTAATCAAAAATGTTTGTGAATTATGGAATAAGAAACATTAAATAAACATGATTTTTATGAATATTATACATTTTCTTTTCAGATTATTTTGTATCTCTGGTTACTTCTTGTTTTAATTTTCCAATATTTTGTTTTCATGATCATGATTAAGGATGTCTAATCAAGAGAAATACCGGGTATAAACATTCTTTAATTATACACAAGGAAAGCCTTATCCACCCAATGAATAGGGAGGTACACACTCAAAATATTTAGCATTTATAGTTTCGCCTAAAATTTGAAATTAAAAGAATGTTTACTTTAGCTTTAGAGGAACAGATGCTCTCAGCCTATTTTTGTGAATTTATGGGCGAGAGCAAATGAAAGAAATGCCCAGGAAATGCGTTTTTTAAAAAAAAAATTAATTACAGTTACTCGTTGGTATGTGTTTATTTAAATTTTGACATACTATTTTTTTCGGGTCCGAAGTTTAAACATTGCCTATATATATATATATATATATATATATATATATATATATATATATATATATATATATATATATATATATATGTGTGTGTGTGTGTGTGTCTGCCTGCCTGTCTGTGATATTAAAAAATAATTCATTTGATTCAGTTTGTCATCTTTGAATGTTATAAGATCTCTTTCTGCGTGATTAGAAAATCTGAGAAAAAAATTTTGCTTATTAAAGAATATTGGATACAAGCGCTTGATCATTTTCAAATTCTGATGTGATGGTGATTTCAGTTACCGACTTCCTCTTGCTACTTGTAGAGTAAACCGAATACTTTTCTCAGCTTTAGCTGCAAGTCTCGTTGTGTAATTAAGTACAAAGTTGAACAGAAATAGGGACCGTATGACTTCTTTTAAAATTCCAGCTGATTTTTTAAAACTTTTTTTTTATATATCTCCACAGATATATTACATCTATGTCTCATCTTCGTTATGTCTGATTATGTTTTTTTTTCCTATCAGACTTAGAACCGCTGAAACTTTATTTCAAAATTTTCTTTTTCCTTTCATCTGGTTTTCTTTGCACTTTTCTCTCATTTTGTTTACCTTATGTCTTCCCTCTTTCGTCTGCCTTTTCCTCATCCACCTCCTTTCCTTTTTCTCCGAATTTCTTTTCGATTAATATTATCAAATAGGTTTTCTGTTAGAAAGTTTAACCAATTCCATTCCAGAAGGGCCAACGAACAGGCAAATACGCTACTCTGATCCTAAGTAGGAAGGCGTAATGGTGGAACATTCAAACAATAATAATAATAATTGTTAAGGGTCCACCCTTTTTATACAAGTGGACCTGCCCAGTGTGTACTTGTACTGCTGCCGGTGAATACCAGGGAGTGAGAGAGTAAGAGTGTGAAGTAACCGCTTGGTAGGAGTCACAGATGCGAGCACGTAGACTCAGAAGGAAGTCATACTTCGATACTGAATTTCCCAGACTGTATATATATATATATATATATATATATATATATATATATATATATATATATATAATTATTATTATTATTATTATTATTATTGCTACTAACCGCATTTCTGGATATACTAGCCGTATTACCAATTGTATTATTACGTCAATACATTTATTTGCTATATTTTATTCCTGCGTTTGTCATTCATTTTGAGACCGGATTTCATCCCGGAATCCACAACAACAACAATAATAATAATAATAATAATAATAATAATAATAATAATAATAATAATACTAATACCAGTACTCATAGTTTTTTTTTAGTTAATGTTTTATCCTTTTACGACTTAAACTCAATAGATAAATATTCATAACTTATTTTTTGCAGATTTTAATTCATTGCCATAAAACAATATCAAAGATAAACATGAAAAAAATGTTTTCACTTAAAAACTGACATTCTCTTAGTTAATTCTGCCTAATTGCTGTCCAGGCAAATGGCGTCAAAGTGCCAAATATTGGTTTTGAGTTATCGTTTCAGTGCTGTAACACTGGTGAGACTACCCGAGAGAATTGGGGTCGGGGTGAAATAGGACCTGGCATAGATTTGAATTTCTTGTCAGTGCCTCTCTTATCAGTCCCATGACGGTAAAGGTCTCTGTCTGATGATAAGCTAAAACTATTAACACGATTCGCACATAGACTTTCTCATATCCATGCGCTTCATTTACCAAGCGGGCATTTGTTGGATGAGTAGTTGGCTAGGAGTTAAGAGGTCAGTGATTTTGTTTCAGGTGCCAAGTTGATGAAACTCTTGATTACGAATCTAGCTCTTATTGCAAACTTAAACAAAAAAAAATCACTGACGATGACATAATAGCAACTTTCCTTCAATATTCAATCATAAATCATAAATATTCACTCATAAATTTTCTCATTTTAATAATACTGTCTCATTCTTCCACGGTCTTCCGGTTCATCTCACCTTTTTTTTGCAAGGCTCTTCGGGACGTTTTCAAGTCTAAATAATAAAAAAAGAAAAGAAAAGAAAAAAGATTATTTCATTTTCTTCATTTCGCTAAACAAAAAATAAACGCCGAGTCGTTTTTGTTAATCCCGACCATGAAAACGACCCCCTTAATCCTGATGAGACTAACTCAATAAATTTAATGTATCAATATTATATGCACAGGCACAAGATATTCTATGTAGGATTGCCACAAATGTCCGTTCTGTTTTTGTAGTAGTATTAAGAGAAACTTAGGTTTAACATAATTCACGCACAAAAACAAACACACATACGACTGATTTCTGTTAAGTTTTTATTGTGTACGAACAAGAGATTTATTTTCTGGATATGGTCTATGGAGAAATTCAAACTACAGAATCATCAGAGCTGTTTTGGCTTGAAGGTACATTACCAATCAGTGCGATTTCTCATCTTCAGCATGGCTGCTCGTTTTCGAGAACATCTGTCTGCTCAGATACATCTGCGTTCCTTTAACACCAACAGAACCAACCTGTGGTTTATACTTCAGCTATACTGAGTGAACATTAGTTACATTTAAATTAAGATTTTGTCCTCCTTCTATACTGGTTGCTAACCACAGCCAGACACTCCAGTCTACCCTGCTATTTAACTCACCGCTGGAGGGGACGGAGAAGAAATGGATTTATACCTTTTCCCAATGGTATTTGTGAGAAAGTGAATGTAATGATATCTTGTGCTTGTAAATAGTTGCAAATTGTGAGCTTGTAAAGTTGGCGTCTCTTGGTGTCATTATTTTGTTAAAGTCGACATTCTGCATACTTTGTTTCTTATAAACTCAATTACGTGTACTTCCAATGATTAATCGTACGTCAGTATCTGTAATTGCTGCAGAATAAAGCTTCAGTGTTTGTACCTTTCACCCATCTGACATGATGCTGGTTTCCTTCTCGCAGTAATGGTCGTTCTATACGTGATGTCCTGATAACTCCAAGCGCACGTACGTTCATTGACACGAATTTTGGCTTATTGATATTTACTAAGCTTAACTGAGGACAGCACAAGGCCAAATGTGTTTGGAACTCAGAATTGATCGAACCAATAACAGTAATAATGATTTGCACAAGATTGTTAAGTATTACATGATACTCTGGACTAGTGATTAGTAAGCTAGACTCGTAGACTTTAGTAAAACTACAGTGAGTTGAATACTTGCTGAGCGCTCAAGACCCGCAACTATGTGCCTGACCAAGCCAAACTAAATATGAACAGTTGCGTTTTTGAGTAAATGTTAGAAAATTCACTAAATAAATCATTTCTACGGTAGAGTTGAATTCTTTCAAACTATAGTTTTGTTTTACAGTAATCACAATAAATACATAGTGAAGCAAGCCTGCCTAACATACTATAATGGCAGTAGTGATTTAGATCTTCATTGGGTGCTCGGCACTTTGGGCCTTGTGCTAGACTAAGCTAAGATTAGTAGGTACAAATCGTTCCGTAGTGGTGCAATAGTTCTTAGGATCACTCAACAGACGATTACTGCTCTCGTGAAGATACATATACGTTCATATAACATTTTCTCTTATTCACTCAGAGTTTATGGCCACATCACGTGGAAACACTGGTTCTTGTACGATCACCGAAGATGAGCAATGTTGAGCCTAGTCAGTACATAGATGGGTGACCGCCTGGGAATACCAGCTGCTGTAAGCTTGGATGTGCGCGTGGTGTAATGGATAATTGCTCGGAATTGTTAATAGGAGAGCCGAGTTCCAATTTCAGTTGGAATCGTTATATTCACTTATGCACAAATACCCTTGGGAATGGTATGACTCCACCTCATCTCTCCCCAGCTATGGGTTAATTAGTAGGATTTGTATCACTAAAACATTATTATCTTAAAAAAAGAGAAGAAGAAATGCTTACAGAAGAATTAGATTTCGGTATTAAATAACTCATAGAAGTTGATATGCCACTAAATAAAAACAACCAAGCAACCAATTTATTCCCTCAGAAATATATACGAATAAACACTTTTTCTCCCGTCCAAAATTCGTACATTTATTCTACGAATGGTACTGAAAAGTTCTTCTCTCAACCAGGGAAATGGGTTGTGCCGAGAACATTTCAACATGCACACAAACATTCTTGAACATTTAATATATATATATATATATATATATATATATATATATATATATATATATATATATATATATATTATTTATTTAAAAATATGCTCTACTTTTGTATCGAGCACTATTTTTTAAAATAATAACTAAAATACTAAGGAACTTTGGATTTTTATCTAACCAGTTCCTTCCTATTTTCTATATATTTTCACACACACACACACACACACACACACACACACACACACACACACACATATATATATATATATATATATATGTATGTATGTATGTATGTATCGTGAGCGAATACATTCTGGAAACTACTATCTCCTGCATGAGGCAGAACCTGCTCTCATCACTGATTATAAAGTATATTCGAAGTGTATATATATATATATATACACACACACACACACACACACACACACACACTTCGAATATACTTTATAATCAGTGATGAGAGCAGGTTCTGCCTCATGCAGGAGATAGTTTCCAGAATGTATTCGCTCACGATACACAGACCCCCAACCTCTAGAATCATTGTCTTGCGTTTCATGTTTCAGTTCTCACTTCCCCTTGATGTTTGCGGGGAGAACGTTGCACCGTGAATATGTATAACTCATTCTATTGCCATTCCTGCAACAGCAGGAAGACGCCATGCTATCCCAGCAGAATATTGCTCGTCTACTTGATGTCCATGCTATTTAACATGGTCTGCAAGATATTCCAAACTCCACTGGGTGATACATATATATATGAGATTATTTACTGTCATTCATGTATATTTGTACATTTAATCTTGAGTAAATTGAAACCAGATTCAAAGTATTGCAATCATTTTATCGTCAACGGATTCATAAATAAAACTTTTATGTTAGGTCATTGGTCAGATTTTTGTGAAGTGGGTCAGCACATATGTTTTCAAAATGGTGCAATGGAAAATCTTAAATATTTGTCAATGTAGACATGACTATCTTTTTGTTATGTCACATCACAGAAACCACACGAAAGTCTGCGATCATCGAAAATGTAGAACAATAGAACTAAAGCAGGAAGCTGCATTTAGAGATTAATCAAGCGCAGGAATAAAAAGCGGCCTCACTGAAAATCAAAACTAAAGACATAGAAACTGAGCTGCACTGGAGAAAGAAATCGGTGATATACATGGACATGCTAATGCTAATGTGTATGAAATGGCATGCCTGCCGTTCAGCATAAAGTGAGTGATACTGAAATATTTGAAGATTTTGATGATGTTAAAAAGGGTTACATATGTTAATGATTAGTTTCCCCGCAAAATACCGCTCTTGGTCATTGTATATAGGGTACTACGACCAAAATGAAAAAGCAAAAGTCTGTACTACTTCGTTTCACGTGACCTAATAAAATCTTTGAATTTCTGGATTGCACCTCATACATAATACAAATATATATATATAGTTCGGTCGGCTAAACATTTACGTTTTTTAGAATCTGTTCATATCAAGCTTCATTGATTCACATTGTGCAGGCAGAAGAAATTTCTTCGTTCTCTCTGTCTCATGGATGAGTCGTTAGTACAATTTTTTTCTGTTTTATACTCACTAGGAGCTTATTTATATCGATCTATTCTTCTAGGAATAGATTTATTTTAGTCGTAGCTCCTTAGTTTCGCCGTTAATGACTATTTTTCTGTATATTTCGGGTTTTGTTCCAACGAATCTTTCTAAATAAGTGTTGGGCGAAAAAAGAATCCTTTTAAAGAAATAGTTCCGTTATTTTAAAACAATATATATATATATATATATATATATATATATATATATATATATATATATATATATTAGAAAAAAAAAGTAGAAAAGTAGAAAAATATGTTCGAACTTAAGAAAAATATTAAATATAAATCAATGTAAATATACAAAAGAAACTATTAATTGGTTCAACAATTCAACAATATTAGAAACAAAAACAATTGCTCCTTTTACAAATAGATATAAAAGTCTTTTATGCATCCATTACCAGGTACATATTAAATAAAAGATTAAATTTAGCAATACAACACATAAACATTCAAGATGAAGAATCAGACATAATTAATTATTGTAGAAAAGCATTATTATGCCACAATAATGAAACATGGCCAAAAAAGAATAATAGCAATAAGATTAATAAGAACTTTGACGTATCAATGTGCAGTTATGATGGCGGATTTTATGCGAACTTGTACGGATATCAAATGTCATTAATAAAAAGGATATAGGCTTATATAGAGATGATAATTTAATAATTGGAAGAAATTTTAATGATAGAAAAAGAGAAAATATAAGTAAACAAATAATGTAAATATTTCACAAATTAGGATTTACAATAGACATAAAATCTAATCTAACTATGGCAATGCAGACGAGGATAACAGTCTGAATAATGTAAATGAAAGTAGAACCATTTATTACATCGAAAGATAATTAGGATAATCTTGTAAAAAAAGCTACATGTAGATTATTAAATCTCAAAAATTTAATATAGGAAAAATAAGTAATCAAATAGTAAAAAAATAGGTTCGAAATTAAAAGAAGAATTTTAAATATAAATCAATTGAAAAATACAAAAGAAACTATTAATTGCTTCAACAATATTACAAAGAAAACAATTGCTCCTTTATACAAATAGATATAAAAGTCTTTTATGCATCCATTACCAAGTACATATTAAATAAAAGATTAAATTTAGCAATACAAACATAAACATTCAAGATGAAGAATTAAACATAATTAATCATTGTAGAAAATCATTATTATGCTACAACAATAAAATGTGGCTAAAAAAAGAATAATAGCAATATTTTTAGCGTTTGGGCACATGATTTCGTTTCACACATATTACGTTAAAAATGAAAATGGTGGAACATGAAATGAATTTTCGTCATTTGATGTTTTTTTACTTCCGCAAATGGAATAGCGCTATATAAACATGGCCAAATTGAAACGCTGATTTAAAAAATATCATTAATTCATTAGAAACCTGTAGAACCGCTTAGACAAGCTCATAATATACAAAGAAGCCCGAACTACCACCCGTCACGATGAACGGATGACCCCTCGGGGAAGCACAGTGACTTGAAAGCCTATTGGGCTTCAAACTTGCACCTGATCTCAGATGGAATTCGTACATACGTTCCATTGCTAAGGATGTAGATAAAATGGTCGGCTCCTTGTACCGCTCCAGTAAGTACCTGACTCCTCATGCCATCCTCTATCTTTACAAGATCCAGAGCAGGTCAGAAATGGTGTACTGTTGTCATATTTGGGCGGGAGCTGCCCAATAGTCTAAAAGCATATCCGAGCCCTTGTGGGTGACGAATTATTCTCTATCCTCCAACCTCTCTCTCACAGGTGGGATGTGGCAAGCCTCTTGGTACTCTGTCGCTACTTCCACGGAAAGTGCTCAGACGAACTACATTCCCTGGTTCCACCAATTCAAACCTTCATGGCAAGGACCCGCCATGCTAATTACATGCTGAGAAGTAAGTTCCACTCAAACAGCTTCTTCCCGAGAACCACTGCTCTGTGAAAGCGACTCCTAAGAGGATGTTTCCCCGATCACTACAATCTTAATTGTTTAAGGATTAACCGTTATCTTCCCCTCCTATCTGCACAAATTGCCCCTTAACGTAGCCTTCTACCTCGATTGACCCCCAGGCCTTGTACAGGATGAACGTTACTGTAAAAAAAGCTCTGAGTAGATGTAATCATGATGTTTCCTCAAAGATACCGAAAGGTAGTTGAATAAAATGGCATCTATATGGTTAAATAAATCAATGGAGAAATATCTAAATATTGTCTTTAAAATTCACTTAAAACATTACAAACTTTTGTTTTGGGCGGGTGCTGAGAAGTTCTCAATACGACGAAGAAGTACTTCTAAAAATTTGCTTTGGTCATTTGGGTAGGTTTTAGGATTAAATCACTTTATATATAGTCTGCACCAGGTAACTGGGAACCTATTAAAATATAAAGAAAAACAAAGATATTTAACAGAAAATGAATCACTAAGTATTTACAGATGTACAACTTAAAAAAAAAACAGAATGTTTATTTAGGAAAACGGACGCAATGTAGAGGACGATTTGGAATGCGGCCTTAGGATTGGCTGCACGCCGTGGTCACGTGGTCCGTTATAGTTGGCTTTCAATGAGTTCTTTATATTATACAGTCACTGGTTGGTCGCCATCTCGATGACATAGTCATAGTGGCTTAAGAGATTAAAATCAGGAGAGGTACGTGGCTACATGTTATCGGGGTGACTTGATCGTAAAACTGCTTTGCAATCCACTCCTGGGTTGCGTGTGCCATGTCGGAAAAAGCAGTCATGTTGTAACGTGTACGGTTACTCCCCATCTCAGATCTTCAGAAAGGAATCTAGCACTTCGGTAGTATTGACACTGAGGTTCCTATAAGAAGTAATGCGATGCTATAACATGGTCCTTGGTTTTCCCGATCCCAAGAACCCTCACAGACGACGTGAACTGGGTGTGCATCATCGTTAGTAATTCCGCGCATTTCTTCTGTTTCAACAAAATGTCCGAGTCACTGCA